GGTCTCGAATGTCCTTTTACATTTACTTTGTGGCCACCTCCCACAGACCAGCTGACAGTCTCCATGACTGTGATGATGATTGTCATAAAGCAGCTGAACTGCTGAGCTCAGCTGCTGCTGCTCAAGAGACAAATTAGTCTGAATCTGACCCCCCCCACCCCCACACACACACACACACACAAAACAGAGCTGTGCTGGGACCACACACACTGGTCATAAAAGAAACACACAACACACTCAGAGATACACATTAACACAGTGATATAGTGGTACCACTGACTAAGTTTATAGATGTCTCTGTGTGTGTGCTGCCCCCTGCTGGCTCATCAATAACACTTCAGGTCTGAACCAGTCTGACAGTTTACTGTGATTGGATGGAAAAGTTTCAGTGTGGAAAGGAATAAGATGAAATACAGAAAATAACAAATTAAACTGCCAAACACTGTGGTATACAGTATGATCCTGTAGTCACAGAAAATACTAATCCCTGATTGGCTGGCAAGTAAACAATCTATTGGGACACAAAAAAAGTTCCAATCAACTGTTTACCCACTGTCTTTAATTATGGCTTATTGTATGTATTGTATTTGTTTTCTGCTTGGATCATGCGTTCATATAATCACAAAATAAATTTTACAAACAGGTGAAATAATAAACATCTCCTGTTGTTTCTCCATAGTATTTTTATTAGTATCATACACAAGCATGTTTCTATTAAAACACATTATATCAACTGAATCAAACTATAATGTACAAACGAGTTCAAAGTGACAGGCTGTCTTCACCGTGTTCATCCTGCATGTACAAACCCCCCACCCCACCCTGTCTGCACCAACGCCGAGGGATCAGGAACAAAACCAGAACAACTTCAGCAATCAGTCAAACGTGAACTGTTCATGTGTCTTTGAGCAAGGCACTGCACAGCCAGCAGCTCACTCACTGTGTGTCTCTCTGGATAAAACTTTTTAAATTAACTCCAGATTAGAGGACTCGGCAGAGGTTTGTGTACATTTTGGGTAAATCAGTATCTCCAAGATGGTCAGTTTCAAACCTCAAACTGATTTGAATTTGATCATGCTTCAACATTTTAAAATTTAAGACAATTCCAGGTGCCATGACAAACTTAAAATGTTATTAAAAATATCAGATTTATTTATTTCTAATTTTGTGATTTCTTTAAGGGCAGGTCCCACCTAAATTACAACAAATACACTTTTTTTGATCATTAGACTCTTTGACATGAATGTATTACAAATTTCAAGTATAAATGTCAATTTAAACACTTTAACTTTGTTAATGTGTGTGAGTTTCACACATCTACAATTCCATGACAACTGAGCAAACTATATCTGCTGAGGAAGCTCAAGTCTTATGATTGAAAGTGAAAACAGAAGATTGTTTGGTGATATGATGCACAGACAGATCAGACCACCGGGCTGCCAGACTGCTCTGAAGGTATGGAAACTGTTTGTTTTTAGGTCTGACAACTCGTTCTAATTTACAGCTATGACTGAGCAAAATCCATTTACCAGCGAAGACTGTATGGAATGGTTGAAAGCTCCTAAACAACCCAAGTAAGTAAACCTTGAGTATGAGACTGTCAACATATTTTTGAAAAACACAACTGAAAAGTCAGATCAATAAAATTATTATCTATTGATGCATATGTCACACATTCATTTTCGTGTCAGTAGTAACAGTTAGTGAAAGAATAACAAGAGGTTTTGTGGTCATGAAAAGACTTTCAAAGGTCCACACAGTGATGCTGCATGTTGTGCCTGGAATTTGTTGCTGATTCCGTTCTAAATCTCCAGTTCTTGACTTTTTGATGATAATTTAACTACACAGGATAATCATCAAACATTCTGCATCACATCCTGCAGAGCTTCAGTTTGTACATGCAGGATCACAGGTTGTAACTAGATTTTTTTCCATAAAAAAAAAAACTGGTCAAACTTTACATTACAATGACCGTATTCCAGTGTATTCATCTGTGGGAGAAGTACTGTAAGCACACTTTCATTATGCACTTAGAAACATGTAAAACACAGTTTAAGCATAATATCAATACTTCTGTTTTATTGCACTGTTTCAAGTACATATCATGTTGTGCACTTCTATTACTTCTCTGTAAGTTAATACTCAGGCTGATGCACTGGATTAAGGCTACTTTATGATAAAGTTGCACCAAAATAACGATTCACTTCATCAGGTCCCACAGATATACAATCCCTGCCCTCAGCATGCAAACATAAGAGACCGGAGCCAATAAGAGCAGAGCTGCACGGGGATTTCAAGGTTCACACGTTTGGCCTGACAAACAAAGACAGACAATACCAGCAGCCATCATCTGAAGGTGTCGTTCCACTTTTACAGACACCTGGCAGGCTGGTAAACTAGTCAAAGTGGCTGGTGAATCTCAGAGTTTACCAGCAAGAGATGACACATTTCAACTGTTCTGGTACAATCTGTCCTTTTGCTTTCCGGTGTGAGTTCAATTATTGTTGTTTCTGTATTTAAATAAAGAAGTTTCTAGTGTTAACAGGACTAAAACTGTGAACCTGGTGTCTTTCAGGGGTCGTTATGCTTAAAACAAAGTGTTTGTTGGTTCTCTGAACAGTACCTGAAACCTGGGGGGGACACCACGGATGTCTTTGAGATGAGACTGTGACTGTGCCCCCATTATCCCCTTAGGTACAATTCATCAAGTTTTGCGCTCTCTTTTTTTTTGCCGTTTGAAATGTTCAGACAAGGTTTCAGTACGCTTCAAACTAGTTCCTTTGAAGCATACTGAACCTTTCTACTCTAGACCACTGAATTGCAACATCCCTGTTTCAAAGGCCCACGTATTCCTGTTAACACTCAGCTGGATATTATCAAACAAAGGCAAAATCTCCCCAAAAAAGCCAAGATGTACCTTTGAAATTCCCTTGGCAATCTGATCTGTCTGTTAGCGACAATAACTAATAATCACTGTGCTGGCTGATCAGCAGATAAATAAATTTCAAGTGGCCCAGAATGGAGTCAGACAACTCTTGGCTGTGTTCAAAAAACACCAGAACCTGACATCTGGAGCAGCTGGAGGCTGAAAGAGATTCAGTTCTTACTTGCCAGCATTTAATGAAACGAAGTGGCTTGATACAACTGTCTGGTGCGAGTTGTGTTTGTTGTTGTCTGGTGTTTCATCTGGAAAGTCATCTGCTGGGGCCGCCTCCAACTCGATTAGATATACAGGCCTGGGTAGTTATTAAGAAATTAGCACTTTCCACTGTCGGGCTAAAGAGGACTAAACAACTGATTATGGGTGTTTTGCTCTGTTGTGGAAACCACTCTATCAAGTAAAACAAAATGACTTTCTCAAAAAAAGGGTACACCAAGATCAAACTTGTGTTTTTGGGGACTATGATCTTGCATTCTTGGGAGTTCGACCTCTCGCTGTTGTTGGGAATTCTCATCAATCCCATTGCTGCGAGTTGGATGTCACATTCTTGGGAGTTCAAAGTCGCATTATTAGGATTCCAAAAATGGTTGGAAGGTTGCAGAAGAATTCGCATTCTACAGACTTGAAACTGGGTAAGTTAAATTTGGGAGTCCTAATGCACAAGACCACTCTGTCTGTAACTGGGACAGCATTCTTGCTGAGATGACCAGGTGAGCTCATTTTAATATAGCTGTGCATCGCTCATGGTTCCTGGCATCTCTGAATACATTGGGACAAATTCTTATATGGGAGTTGTTTTGATAAACCCCACACAAATGTCAAATTTAATCGAACAAAAAACATTTGGTGACAAAAAATGTCATATGACAAGGCGTGGATTTAGCTCTGTCCTCCACTTTAACCCAGTAGCAATGGTGGATGCTGCAGATCAAGTCTGTTAGAGTTGAAGCAATTAGTTTTTTAATAGTTTAGCCAATCTAAAGACAACAATTTTGACTTGTTTTTAAAGGGGAAAATTTAAATTTGTTGACTAACTGCTGATTAAAGGAGAATGAAAATGGTCTTTAAGCACAGCCTGAGCATCCAAGATAAAAAAGCAAAAACATTTCCGGTAATTTGGACCATTCTTGGCAAAATGTGGACTTCAAAATAGAACAGCGTTTAGGCTGTAACGGATGATGTTCCACAAGAACACAGAAGTGTCTCTTCACCCCAAATTTGATGCCAGACTATCTCTGTTTGGCCCGACACTGTAAAGCAAGTGTGTGCTAGCAGAATTAATCTCCCATGTACACTGCTGACAGTTTGACCACTCTTAATCAAAACAACCTTAGAACAACAAACAGGTAATGTTTTTCCATTTCCTGTTTGTTCTGAAGTCTGATTGGCTGCTGTCAGGACCAGGATGTGTCAGAACGTGAGATGAACCAATGATGTTGCAAATGAAACAAACAGATGAATAAATATAAATAGTGTGAAAATAGCATGAGGATGTAAGCATAATGCTAAAGATCTCTGTATGAAGCTACATGCTAATGTTTTGAGTCTTATAAAATATTCAAAGTACCTTTTAATCAGGTTTTCACAGACATTTCTCATGAAATCCAATATTAAAAAGAGAATAAATTTACAATCTTTAATTGCTCTAATTGTCCAAATATAATTAACATGTTTTCAATGCATAATTACTGCCAAAGAGAAAATGTATATAATACTGTGTACTAAGTATAGCACAGAAAATAATTAAACTAAATGTAAGATGAATATTTTCAAATTGTCAAACATTGTGCAACATAAACTTAAAAGGTAGTGTTTTACATGTTAATTATGCCCTGATTTTGACTCATTTTAATTAAAATAGGAATATAGGATTCTCCCAGGTCTTTTCTCTGAAACTGACAAATAGGAATATTAGGAATTATTATTAGAAATGAGCTAAATCCAGGTTGTAATGAAAATTTCCACTTTGCCATTTCATTTTCAAGACTAGGTGCACATTTCCTGCTAATTTCATTTTCTGCATTCAGTTTCAATCTCAGTATAGCAGTGTTTATTTTGCTTTTTTTTTTTTTTAAATTTTGTCATATGCTATTAGCACAAAAATGTTAAAATTAATTCTAAATTTCAATATTAATTCAGTACTGGCAGCCACAGACTTCGACGTTTATGTTGCCATCTTGTGGTTAATTAAAAACAGGATGTATTCTTGGAATTTTGAATGATTTCTGGCATGACAAATGTATTTTGTTGTAACACCTGGAGTCATGAATCATTGAAGAGAAAAATAAATGGATGAAAACATTTAAATTAATAAATTTTTAAATAAAATTTAATATGTGGCTTTTAACGACTCAAACATGACTAGTTACATTGCTCCATTTTGTCAGACATGACGTGAACATTGCATCTGATCACGTGACAACCCTGGTCCAATCAGCAGACGCCTCAGAGCAGAAAATACTGAACTCTGGCTGAACATCCAGAGAAGACTTACGAAGTCAACAGACAGCAATAAAAAATAATAATATAAAACAAATAAGAAATAAAAAGCTTATTACAGAGATATGAACAGAAACAATAACATTTCTCCTCCTCCGGTTAAAGTACCACTTCCTTAAATCTGGACAGACCAGGTTATGTCACAATAAGAAGATTATTAACATTATTCTCATTATTAATATCTTACAAAACCAAAATCAACAGTGCAATAAAAAGGTTTTTAATCCCTCGCTCAGCAGGAGAGAGAGAGAAAGAGTGAAAGACAGCGAGGGGCGGGGCTTGGCGACGAGGAAAGAGAGAAAGAAGGTAACATCCAAAAATAAGAAAAGAAAGGAAGGAGAGATAGAAGGAGTACAGAGGAGGACAAGCAGTTTACAACAGACGAGGAAGGAAGAGGGGCTTCTCAGGATTATATAAATGTGAAATAATGGATGGAGAGATGATGTGGAGGTAGAGAGGGAAAAAAGGAAGGATAAAGGGAGGAATTAAACTCAACAGAGGCGGAGGAGAGAGGGGATGATCATGGCAGATTTGTGGTTATTGGCTAAAAGGTGATGGTGTGGCTTTGGGAGAGGAGGATCATGGGAAAATCTGAGGGAGAAAACAGATCCACAAAATAGGCTCCAGCTGACCGGCTAATGAGGCTAAGTGTGTGTTTTTATGACCATTACAATGAAAAAAAAATCTGTGTCTGCTTTTTGACACTTACGGTGATGGTTAAAAGTCGAAATGGCTGACAGGTTGATAAGATGACAAATATACAAAGAGACGCTTAGTATAAGATCTGCACCAATCTAAAAATACAGATTATAATGGAGGCCGTTGTGTGGATCTGTAAGATGCACTGACACCACTTTTTTGTTGCCAGTATCAAACTCTGATGTGAACGTGGTTGTATCTAAGTGATACTGAGTTTAAACAAAAACAACAACAAAAAACAGCTCCGTCTTGTAGTGTCTGTCCACGCAGATGGTTTTGGTTTTATTTGTCCAGGTCTGTCTCTGAGATATCTGCCCTAAATACAAACTAGATAATTGGAATTAATTGGAATTTAGTTTGTGCTGCTCAGTGTTGAAGAATTTCATTTTAAAAAGAAGCAACGTCCTCGTTACTCCGGACAATCCGCAGATTTTTAGGGAGTGGTTAACAAACACATAAATTGATTTGTAAATAAATTTCTTAGCTGTAGACGTCTGTGGTGTAAGCTGCGAAACACCCCAGCAGAAAAGTATATGTCAGCGATGAGTTCAGAGTCACTGAAATGAACTCAGGTTAAATACAGTTAATGGGGGGCTTGGTACTTGCTGTGAATTCGTCCCATGAAAAATGCCTTCAGGTGTTTTTAGCATGTGTGCTGGTGCAGTGGAGACTGTTGTATGTGCAGAAACAAAGAAACCTCATTAACGCTTCATGGAACTGTCACAGACATAGCTATAGTTATTACTATTTTTACTCTAACAGTAATGTAGCTGCAGAGGTTTCTTCCACTGACTTTTCATGCTAAAATAGCAGCTTACTGTTCACACTTATGTTTCCACTCAGCTGAGTGCACGTGGACATCAGGTGCAGAGAGTCACCTAAACATTATACTTCAACGATCAAACCTCTTGGCTGCATGTGACAAATTTTCCCTCGGCCACTTCACTAAACAGCCACATATTGTCCTATCATGGATGCAGACACAGACAGCGGCTGCAGTTGTGTTTACACTACACTGGGTATCTGCATACATGCATGTGTTCACACATACTTTTCAGCACATATAGTCCATACAAACAGTCATGCAGTCATACAATTTTGAGTGGCAAGCAGATGGTCTGTAATCATTTTAAAATCACTGGAAATGCTTTGACCCTGACCTGAACTGATGGAGGCTGAACGTGTTCGTCTACATGAGGACACAGACGGATGATCAAGAGGTTTTGCCTTTGGTTTCTGACATGTCCCACCTGCTTCTGGGCGTCAGTTTGATACTTCACTCAATACTTCAATAAGAAACAAAGACCCAGAGGTATCAATGCATCCTCCATCAATGTGAGGGTAGCTGGGGGGTGGAAGGTATTAATGTTATTTAAGGATGGGGTATATGGAGAGGAAAGGGTGAATAGTTTGGGGTTAGGGAGAAAAGTTTTTGGGGGTGGTGGGAGGTGGGGGATTGATCAAAGAGAGAAGATGTGTTAGGGTGGGTGGGCGTGGCCTGTTCGGTTGGGGGCATGTCTGTTCTCAGGAACTCCTCTTAGTCCTGGAGTGTTGGATCAACCACTGGAGAGTGATGTCTGCAGAGAGAGAGGTGTGACATCAGCAGAGCTCAGACAAAGAGAGTGTGTGTGAAGAGTGTGAAAGAAAAGAAGAAGGTAAACTAACAGTGAAGTGTAACTGTGTGTGGGTTTGATTAAGTCCGCAATAATGCGTTTTTGTAGTTTTTTAAAATGATAATTGCTAAAGGTCTCAGTTTTGTCCATCCAGACTACAACACAACCCCAGAGTTTTCAAAATGAAACAGTGCCAGCAGAGTTTCCAAAACTCTCCGTTTTCGGGGCTCGAAAACTCTGGAGTAGTGTGGACTGCAGGAGGAAACATAGCAGAAGAGATGCATTTTAAAACAAAAATGTGATACTGTGGACGTAGCTTTAATTTCAGACTCTGTGAAGGGGTTAAGACAATCAGTCACTGGACAGGCTCAGGCAGTACCTGTTTTTAAATGAATTACTTAATACCTTCCCAACATTTCACCAGGGTACATGGCATATCATGATATTTGTTAAATTAGTTCCTTTTGAAGGTAAAACTCACAGATATAAGATTTTTATAAGCCTACATTGTCTCATGCCAGTTATTTGGACAAGTCATTCTCTGCGATTAAATACATTTGACACCATGTTGCAGCACTGTGAATAAAGTTAACAACCCAAAATGACCAAACTTGCAATCATTTTCTACCTCTAAATCATTCTGCTGGCCAAACTCCTTGCTGTAACAAATTGATAATCTTTTTTTCCTTTTTCCTTTTCATCCTATTTTATTTACTTGAAACTTCTTTAAAAAAGTCCCATATTTCCTCTTCTCCGGTATTTCATTTGAAGTGTTGAAGATATATTTGTGGTTTTAAGAACCAAAAACTCTTCTGATTGGCTGACTGTTTTCTGAGTGATCTAATATAAATATAGCAGACCTCAGGTTAACACTCAGACACCAAATCCTGCAAGGATGGATGGTGGGTCCAGGTGGGTGGGGCTTTGGGCGTGGCTGAGAGACTGTGTGACTGCTTTGTTGTAACATCACAAAGTTACAGAAGTCCTGGCGGCTCATTTTAAGGCTCAGTTTCTGAATATAGGCTGTGTGCATTTCTCTGTGGACTGAGCGCTTTGATACTTTCACAGTATTAATATAGAACCTAGACCTGCTGTATAATCAAAAAAGACATGGAAATCGACCTTTAAAATAACTTTATGTTAAAGGTCCTGGCACTCAACTGTGGGTAAGAATATATCGTGTTCAATTAAAAGTAAGTCCTGCAGGAGTTTTGGCCAAATAAGACAGAAAAAATGGCCTATTCAAATAAAAAACAAATAAATAATCTAAATAATTGTCTAAATAGTCTAAATAATTGATGTGTTACCCTCTTTCACCACAACTTCCTTGTAGCACACAGCTTCATAAGTCTTTGCTAGCTCAGCTGCATCACCTGATCAGAACCCAAAACATTCCCAAACGGGGAGAACTGGATCCTCACCAGCTGCCTGCCTGACCTCTGGTGGAGCGTGTTGTGCACTACAACACATCACATTAATGACGCGTCTGTGTGGGTTTAATAGAAAATGGAGAGTATGTTTTTGACAGTGTTGAAAATCACACCTTATTGATGTGATACTGCCTGAACCCCTCAGTGAAGTTTGAGTTGGTTCTGATCCTTGATTATACTGAGGTTTCTGATTTTTTGTTGACACCATTTACATACAGGAGGGAGTAGACCATTAGAAAACACCTTAATACAATGTTCCAGTACAACACCACCGAGAGAGAAGGTTTCTGGCGTGTATTCTCTTCTGCTATGTCTGTAACCTTGTTCTTATCTTTACCCTGTAACTAAGCATCCTCCTTGAACTCAGCAGAGATGACTGAGACTAAGACGCTCACGTTCTCCCTCCTGCTCTGATGAAACGGACAACAACTCTTTTGTCCACTTTAATATCACACTATTAACACGTTCTGAGAAGCGATGACATTACACCAATCTTCACTTTTTACCTGTGACTTTTAGAGTTAATTTCAAGATTTTACTGCTCGTTTTTGAAGCCTTGAGACTCCCGGCCTGGCTCTTGCTTATATCTGTGATCTGCTGACTCCCTATGAGCCTGATCACTGCTTGAGACCTTGTTACAGGGGCTGACTGAGAGTCAAAATCAAACTCATCTACTGGCTGAATATTTTATTGCAGATATGGGTTTTGATTACATACTGTATATGATTGATTTTGCTGGTATTAAAGAATTCCTGTAGATGCTGCAAGTTGAAAATACAGTCAAAAAGTTAACTGTCATCAACAAATCACAGAGCTTAAACTAAACAATAAATATGAAGTCAAACTCTGGGCTGGATGTGAAAGTCTGCCTGGTTTTTATTGAGGAGACAAAATGCACAACAATAAAAGCCTCCTGCTTAGTGTGAAGCAGCAGGAAGTGGTGGAGTTGTATAAGTAGTAACACAGCTCAGCTCTGATGCAGCTGATTGGTAAACAGTGAAGTCAGACTGTTATCTGGAAGCACAAACAGGATCCCAGGAGTGAAACTAAACCGAAGAGATTCAGTTAGCGTCACTGACAAATGTGACCTGGACACTCTGCTCCCTGCACTACTTTGTGATTCAAACTCTGAACAGAGGTTTGTAATACTACGAAGTTATTACAGTAGTGATTATTCATTCTCTTCCTCTACTGCAAGATGAACAGCAGTAATGCACTGTTAACTTCACAGGGTGCTCTACCAAAAATGTCTATTTTATGTTATGTTTATTTTAGTTGCCAACACAGTGCTGTTCTGTTTGATGCTGCAGCTCAAGTTTATTCTGGTTCAACTTTTTCACCAGATGACCCCATGTTTTGAGACCTTTACTCTAGCACCCCCACTGTACCAAAGCAGCGGTCTGCCATAGCTTTAGGGTTTCATGAATGAAAATGTATTATATCAGTGAGGGTCCTTGCGTGTGTGTTTGTGTGTGTGTCATACCGATGTTGTCTTTCTCCTTGCAGGAGATGGAGTAGCAGCAGATCTCTCTGTCCTGGATGGCCGACAGGTTCCTGAGCAAAAACACATGAAAAAAAATCAGTTCATACACACAAATAATAGACACTGGGACAGTACCTTGGGGGCTCTTTTGGACCTTTACAAGGACTGATGAAAACCTGGCTCAGAGCACCAGTGACTGAGCAGGACATTCCCTCCCTTTCTATTGTGAACTAAATTTCTCACTTCCATATATGCGAGTTAGAATTTTATTTACTTTTCTTTTGATTGCTCATTGCATCTCTTCTTTATGCACCATGTTTCACGATATCTATGCCAGAACCAGTAGCTGTACCACCAACCCTGTGTTAATGTCATTTAAATTCAATAAATATTTAAATAACAAATGATGGACATGGATATGGATGGATATTCATCAAACAGGAAGACCAGGCCAAAGTCACAGCTCACATGTCATTTTGTGTGTTTGTGTGTGTGTGTGTGTGTGTGTGTGTGTATAGACATGTTAATAGAGAGTCATTATGTATTCCACTAGATTTACTGAGGTCACACAGTTTACGACGGTAAGACCCTAAGGCAGGAGAGCTACTGAGTCGAGGTGAGAGCAGATGATAGACATAACTGTTGGGGGAAAAAACATGTGACTGGAAACCTGGAAACCAGTCACGTGACACTGACCAGGAGTAGGCAGCAGTGTGTTCAGTGTGTCATTATCAACAAACAAAAAAATGGAGCTATATGTTTGCTGCAGATTATGCTGTTGAAGGAAAGATACTGTATAAAATATAATGTAGAAATATGTACAAACACACTAAACCTGGACCAGAGTTTTGATGTGGACTTACATCCTCTCTATGAGCTCCTTCTCATCCAGAGCTCCTGGAAGGTCCCTCTTATTGCCCAGAACCAAAACCTAAAGAGACACAGACAAAATACACATCAGCTAAACACACAAGAAAACACAGCAGCTGTCTACATACTGGTAAACACACTGTCTGCATTTCACTATGTCCAGTGAAGTTGGTTTGTCTTGTTCATTGTATGTGGTGCAGTGTCAGCGTATTCGGTCACAGGCTGAAGATCAGGTGGCTTTGTCAGTTCATCCTGGTTCACTCTGAATCAGTTAGCTCAGTTGGCTCCAGTTTATCAAGTCCGAACTGTTCAGTAAAGTGTAGCTAGTGGTTCCCTCATAGTTTTAGATTTGAGCTGGTTCGCTCAGGTCAGTTTGGTTCTGTCAGGTTTACTTAGCTCTATTTAGTCAGGTCCATGGGACATGGTTTTGGTCCAGTCAGGTTTTGTTGGAGGACATTGTTGTGGTGGGTCTGGTCTGATTTGTTCTGAATCTTAATCTGTTGTGGTACTGTTCTTACAGGGATTCCCTGCAGCTGAGGTTTGTCCAGCAGGTTGTGGAGTTCGTTCTTGGAGGCTTCGATTTTCTCTGGGTCTGCTGCGTCCACCATGTAACTGAAACCGAAAGAAATGAAGTCAACATCTGTAACTTCATTTGAAAATGTAATCCAGTAACTTCAACTTTAAAGTTTCATTGATTATTAAAACTGTCTTTAACTGATGCTATCTAACGTCACATACTGAGACAACATCATGGAGCTTTGTTTGGTTCAGTGGGAACACCCAAAGGCGGGAAAATATGGGGTCTTTTTAACAACAGTATAGCGGGAGCGCTGTTCAAAAGTTTAAGTATCTAAAATCGTATCATGCGAATCGAGTCCTGCTAAAACTCAAAAAGAGATGAAAGAAAAAGCTGGCACAAGTCATCAGTATCACTTTCACTACAACAGAGCCGTGCATGCAGAACAACTTTGCTCTTTGTTACATAAATCTGACCCGTTTACCCTGAAGCCTTCCTGCCCCATCTCACCAAGACAACTGCGCTAATATGACACAACTACACAGCAAAAGACCTGAGGACACTTCTGATGATCACATTCAAGGATTTAGATTTTTTTAAGATCTACACTATGATTGGACCAAACGCAAACTGTCAGTAACAATTTACAGATATCAGATTTATCACTGAATATCTGCTTATCCGCTGCAGAACTTGTCAGTTTGAACAGAAGGATGAGGGTCGATGGACAAACTTGCGTGACTCTCCTCTGTCTCTCCCGTTTCATTAACGTCTCTCAGGGTTGCTGTCATGTTTGGGCCCGGCAGAGACGTCCCCGCAACCCCTTTACGTGACAGTAACCACAGTTTAGCAAACCAGGACTTACACGATAGCGCTGACTCCTCGACAGTAACGCTCCCACATGCTCCTGAACCGAGGCTGACCTCCAATATCCCACAACTACAGACACAGAGAGAGAACAGCACATTGTTAGAGTATGTAATGTATACAATGTAAAAATTAATTGTCTCTGATATCTGTGCGTGTGAGTGGATTTTTCAAGGTTTACATGTGATGTAGTCGAATATATCTGTTATGTATCTGTCTTTTGTGAGAGGGTGAAAAGGAAAGTATAGTGGACATTAATGATGTAATCTAAATATTAAAGAATGTAAATAAAATAAAAAATGTTAAAATATAATAATCATCATAATAAATCTAATAAAATGTAATAAAATATAATGTAGAAAACATAATAGTGAGGTGGTGTTATGATGTTAGTATGTATTATTTATATAATATAATAATTCTAAACATGTGATATTATAATGTAATATATACATTATTATTATGTAACAATTAGAATTTTACAACGTGAAGTTACTTAGTAATGGATCCTTTTGATTTTACTATTTTACTCAATCTTAATAGGAAAAGAATGATGAAAAAAAAAGTATTAATTGAATAAAAAGGTTATTTGTTGTGTTGTTATTATAGATGTTTAATAAGCAGGTGTTATAGATATATATCAAATATCCATTATATTAATATGGTATTATATCTACTTTTCCTCTGAATAAATAATGATAACTGGTGATGTTTGTTAAACCAGAGATTAGTCCACAACCAGACAAACTGCCATACAGTATGACTGTGTACAGACAGTCAGCAGAGCGGAAGCGAAGCAGGGAATTGAACTACCAACCTTGATGGTGACGTTGCCCTTAGTGATCTTCCTCATGTTGAATCCGACTGTAGGAATCATGTCTTCACTGAACTGCCCAGACTGAAAAACACACACACACACACTCCTTACTGATACATACACCACTGTTGATGCTGACGGTGTATGCCACCACTGTGTGCCACTCATTAAAGGTATATGAACATCATCACAGACAGTGATCTGTGGTTTCTACCAGAGGAAAATGCCACTAAAACAAGAGCTCAGATTATCACCAATGTACAGTATAGTGTTGATTTGTATGTCGACAAGTAAATAACAAGAAATTGCAGTAAAGAAATGTCAAAGATAAATTTATGGACCTCCTCGTGGCCTACGGGATGAATGCAAGGTGCTGACCATGAACCTGGATTAGAGTCCACCTGAGGATCTTCACTGCATGTTGCCCCCATCTCTCTGTCCCCTCATTTCCAGTTTTCCTGATTTCCTGTCTCTCTACTTAAAATCCTCCAATAAAAGGCATAAATGAGCCTCTGTAATTTTTCCAATGGAGAAAATCTGACAAGTAATTCTGCAAATGTTTATTTGTCCGGCTCCATAGATTCTCTGAGAATCAAATGTAAGGATCTTTATCATGCTGTTTGCTGTTGTGCTGTTATGTTGAATAACAAACGTTGGCCAACTTCATCATCATATTTTAAAACTCACATTTTGATATTAATATCAGCCTCAGCAAAACATTATTGGTGGGGCTCTAGTCTCCAATTCCAATATGCCATGTCAGACATTCAAAAGTCACAATTAACAAAAATGTCTAGGATGAGTCAATCTGACACACTGTGCCACATTAAATGTAATTAATTCATCAACATCATTATAAGATACAGTGTTTCTGCCATTATGTCACATTCATTCAGTTATGTTCATTCAAGGCTGTTGACTCAGATTTATGAGTAAATCCAACCCCTGCAGCAAATAGACATTAAAATTAGTTTTTATTCAAATGTTAATAGACTCTTACTTTTTATTTGCTTAAAGAAAAACATTAAACAGTAACTGTGGCATGTGGGAATGTTTGATCACTACTGAGGGACACCTCTGCCCCCCTTTGCCAACTGTTAAGGCAGATATCCTGCAGTCAGTCAAGAAAGTACAAGTGAAGAGACTGACTCCTACAACAGGACAGTGATCCAAAGCAGACCTCAAAATCCACCATGAATGACCTCTAGGCTGAGGTTTTTTAATGTCTGCTTGCTGCAGGGTTTGTGTTAACTTCTTCACATTTTAAAATCAACACAACTATATCTTTAACATATGCATATCAGACACTGCATAATCATCTAATTTAATATATCTGAAATACTAATGTCGGCACAGCATCAGATGGGTTCTGTACTCAAAACTGTATTTCAAATCTAAAAAATGGAAGAAACACAAACAAATCTCTTTGGGTGGAGGCAAATCTATGTTAGTGGGTCACTCAAAAATTAAATTTGTACATGGGAAGCAGAGGAGGGTGCAGTCAGGGAGGGGTGATCAGCTGATGGTGTATGGCAGGGAGTGACTGTGACCGGAGAGGGAAGGTCACTCTTACAGGAGGAGGGGGTCGACCCTCTAACACTGGACCTACAAATCCTACCTGCGGCCCCGCGAATAACACCAGGGATGGGAGTGGGGAGGTGGGCAGTCCTAAAACGGCCTTAAATTCTGATACAAAGTTCTTCAGTTACGGTGGAGGTTAGGACCATCCACCGGTACTGCTGTGAGAGCAGCTGTGCTCATTTAAATGACACTTTAAAGCTCAGTAAGCATAACGTTAATGGTGCCTGTACTCAGTAAGAAAACAAACCCAGACGCTGGCTATATAACAAAACTTTAAGTCACTAATGTATAAATAACACACTGACTCGTTGATCGTTTTGCTGAAGTCGAACATCGACAGCTAGCTGACCTCACCACCGCAGGATAACAATGGATGAAGCCAGATGCTAACTGGCAGCTGGCGTTAGCACATCTGTTAGCGGTTAAATTAGCCCAACCTTACCGCTATCACATTGACGAAGGTCGTTTTCCCGGAGTACTGCAGCCCCACCAGGGTCAGCTCCATCTCCTCCTTCCAGAAGAGCGCCTTGAACCAGTCCAGCAATTTGTTAATTAGCGCTATCATCTTTGTCGTCTGATGCTGATGCTAGTGCTAATGCTGCTGTTTCTGCTGCTATGGCTAGGTGGCTATGCTAGCTAGCTAGCTGGCTAACGCCCCGGCAGTCTTTTTTTGAGACGCTGACAGTCACTGAGACAACCCCGGGCGGTAACGGGAAAACGGACGACACCGACTGGCGTTATATGAACCGAAGAGGATAGTCAATAAGTCGGTGTTTTCAGGCTCTGGTGTCCGCTGTGTGTTTTCCGTGATGTTTACTAGCTACGCCTTTTCCCACAGTACTGTCAAGAGATTTATCAACTCACACCACATCCGGCACAGCCCTTCAAAATAAACCTCGAACCGAAAATAATTTCCTGAAACATACAATCAAATAAAGGCTCAACATGGACATAAATATGATTCATAAGGAACAAAATATTGTAAGTGTAAGTGTTTTTAGTCCAAACTTTCCCTTTTATTGGTAATGTTGTCAGATTTGATTTAATCTGTCAGCAGGTTGTCCGCTCTGCTTCCTGTTTGGGTGGGGTTGATATATGAAGCAGAGGAAAGCAGAGAAAAGAGGAGGTATAGACTTCTGTGTGATTGAACTTCTGCCCTCTGCTGTAAACACAAAGTAACTACAGTTATGATATCCCTAATAAACACGAAGACCCTTTTACCTCCATGTGGAAGGTGAAGTTTTCACCTCTGTCTAAATCAGCCATTTCATCACTGCTACTCAACTGGAGGTCATTGTTGTCATATCTGAGGTTCAATATGACTCAATTAAACCACGTTGGCAGTAGGGTTAAACGGATTTTACAGCTCAGATCATGTGACTCATTTCTAACAGTTCAGTTCTTTCAGAAAGACTAAACTATAATAATTAGCAAACAAATGTAACAGTGGTCATATCTTCATTATATGACTTGATTTTGGGTGACTGATTATCTGACAAACTGAAGAGGTCAGTGTATGAACAAATGTTGGAGCAAATATCTGCAGACATGAGGTCAGTTTATTAATGATGGAGACAAAACAGATGGAAAACATTATGAGATTGATTCACACTATATTTAATGTATGATAATGTATTTGAAGAATTATTGATAATTTTCTCAGTTTCCTTATTTCCTATGGGGCTGTCAATACCTGCTTTTGCAGAGATGTGTTACTGGTTACTCTGAATGTACAATAGATCATGTAAAAAATGAACACACACACTGCTGCATTAACATGTAATGTGACTGAGAACGATACAGGAAGTGCAACTAACTGGACGTCTGCTTCTCTGTCTGACACCACAGATTATTATAAAAGCAGCCAAAAATTACCCTTTACTTATATTTAAGACTGCACCCAGAGCAGTTGACCTTGTAGACTTCAAAGGGTCACTTCACCTACATAATAAAAAAACATATCACTCACTTACCTCTAGTGGCATCCAGTCATGCAGATAGTTTTCTGCACACTGTTGATACTGTTGACATTTATCCCAGATTTGAAGAATTTCAGCCGTTGCATTACTGAAATATTGTGTCCATGAAAATGGGACAGACAGATGGACAACCCAAATTCAATATGCCTCTGGTTCTGACTGTAGCCAGCACAGAGGGAAAAAAATGAGACAGATTGGATGGTAATAACAAAGAACTGGAGTTTCTGGACACTGACCCTGGGTTCAGGTACTATCAGAAACATAAAGGTTTCTGGTTGTGGTGGTGGTCCTCTGCCCTACTGGTGTGCTGACTGAGACTTAAGTAACTGTACTTTCAGCTTAGACTGAACACAAACTGTTACTCTAAAATATCAGAAAAGGCATTGCACCAATATGGTGGCTCGGAGTTCTGCATCTGGGACTCAGTATGTACCTGTTATGGTCACTGACATACATCCCCTGCTGCCTACCTCTAATTTTGTGCTTCTGTCTCAATTGCTGCAAATCTGAATTCTCTTGATGAACCTGCCTGCAGCTACAGACTGGTTACTGAATGCACCTACTGGTCACAGGACCGAGGATCTGAGGGCCTGAGGCCCAGAGCCTCTGCAGGAACTGACTGAACATTTCTGGGTGGGTTCAAAACAATCATAAAGCGAAACAACTACGAAGACATACAAAATCACAACGAAGAGACACAAAACACCTACAAAGAGACACAAAAGAATCACGCTGAGAGGCAAAGCAACCACAAAAGATGCAAAACTACAAAGAGACAAAATGACCATAAATAGAAAGAAAAAGTCCATTAAAGACGCTAGTAAATATCTTTAAATAAAATAAAATAAAATAAACACAATGAGTGTGTCAAAGAATATTAATTTTTTTATTTCATTTGATTTCATCTGATTTTAATGTTGGGAAGGAGATTTTGTGGGCATGACTTTTTTTCTATTTGGTTGTTTTGGTGCAAGCTTCTTGGTTCGGTCCTGTTTTCTGAGATTTTCATTCCAGGACCAACATGATGCTCTCGGTTCTCTGCTGTACCGGTTCTTCAGGCTCTCTTGATGTCCAGTCTAGCACTGAGTTTTTGGGGTTCCTGTGTGTTCCTGCTGGTTCCCCAACTCTTGATCCATAAGTGTATCAGGTCTTTGGGGTCTGCTGCTGGTGTCATTTTCTGCCTTTAAGTTCTCTTGTTTCCATCTTTCTGGTTGTGTTGGTTCTGAGGTCTACCGGGTTTCATTAGGTGTGCATCTGGCCCCCTGGAGGTTCTGTATGGTATCAGTTACTCTGGTTCTGTGTGTTGTCCAGCTGGAGGTTTTGTAGCTGTATGCTGACTCGGTCCTCTGGGTTCTGCTGGTTCTGATTCTGCTTATGAAGAGAAAACATTTTCCTTAAATGTCAATTTAATGACTTTTACCTAAATCATACACTGTTGCAACAGTGTCTGGTTGGTCAGATAGTTTTCAGGTCTCTAAATATGATTTAAATGCCCCTCTGTGGGGTTTGGTACCTGGTTGTGTTGTAGCTGGCAGCTATACAGGGCCAGAGTGGAGTACAAGAACTGGTACTGCTCTGTTGTTTGGATCATACCACCCCTGCACAGGACGATGGGGAGGTATGCAGTAAACAAAAAGGTTAAACCACAGAGAGAGAGGATGAGAGATCAAATACAGGTGTGTTTTTTTTATTTTCACTCACCTGTCGAGTCGGAGCTGACACACTGTCTCTAGGATGTCAACCTGACCTGTTTCTCTGAGCTGCTGACAGCCGATACTGCTGGCTATGAAACAACCTGTCCTACCTATACCTGCACTGAGATTAGGAGAGAGGAGAGGAGAGGAGAGGAGAGGAGAAGAAGCAAGAAGAAGAACAAGAGAGGAGAGGAGGAGATATCAACCGTGAAAAAGGTTAATTGGGACAAACTGACAAAGAGCTGAAACCAACTGATAATAGCCTGAATGCTAACACAACGCGGTCCAGTCAGATACCAGGTTTGGACCTGGTCTTATTTGCATTAGTTGGTCAGATCAACACCACAGCTCTTTCTCTCTCAGACTCTTTCATCTACCTTCTCAGCTGTGGTTGACTGCTCATCTACGACTATCCACTCTCTCACACAGGAAGAAGCTTTGAACATCACCACAGCTGGTTTTACTGTTCACTGACCAAGATCATAATCTTCTGCTGTTTTGTAGACACAGTGTGTTCATATGAGCTTTCAATGTGTTGAGCTAGAAGAGAAAAACTGCTGAGTGATTTCCAAAGGTGGAAACACTCATTCATACCAGTGTTTTTACCACAAACATTACATTTCTACTCATTTATCTCACTGTGCTATATATTAGTTATTAGGGCCAGTGTGAGGGGAACATTTTTCAAGCGCAAAGTCAGTATAATTTAGTTTCTTTTACTATTTATGGTCCACAGTATAAATGACAACTGTATGTTTATGTTAATGTATATGTTTTTGTTTTATTTTTTACTATATTGTTTTAATTTTTGTGTTTTTAAATTGAGTGGACACATTTGAAGTTTTACTGTAATTTTGAGGGAAAAAATAGAATTAGATTTAAATCTTCAAGAAAAGGGTTCTTAGTTTGAGAAAGAAGTTATAACTTTTATAATGTTTAGTCCAATACTTCTTGATGACTTTTTCTTTGTTATTTAGATTTTTTTTGTTACACAACCTTATGACAATTTTCTCTATAAGTTTCACATACAGTAAAGTGAACAGGTCATGTGACATTGCTTTTGTATACCTTGCTCGTTAGCAAACACTGTGTAAACCAATGACATTCTCTAATCATTTAGGTGACTTTGTCCTGAGCAGCAATTACAACACAAGAGATCCCCTTCACTTTTATTAACGATGTCTCAGCTGACTACAGGTCTTCATCACCTGTGGTTGACCAACATTGCTGGTTGGGCGAGATAATGCAGATGGATTTCATGGATTTATGATTTTTTTTTTTCATTTACATAATTTTTGCGAGCAGCTGCTGCACCTGTTGCATCACGGGTCTTTATAAGATTCATAATATTTGGTACAAGTAGTGTGATTTTCTTGCTAAACCAATGTCTGTGGTGTATTTGCAAGTCAGCAAATAGCCAATAAAACCACAGCATTTACGATCAGTTATATCTTAGTGCAGAAGATGTTCATGCAGCACAGTAAGTAGTCTCCTCAGGACCATCAGTCTCTATATTATAAAACAAAGAGACAAGATCATGCAGCTGTGAAAGTTTAACCTAAACTCTGAGTTTTCTTTTCAGCACTCCCACAATCCTTTTCTGCTGAGGAAGAGCTGGTGAAAGCACCAAAAACTGCATTTAATAAGGAGCCAACCTGCAGTGGACGATGATTGGTCCAGGACCAGTGACGGGGTCTGTGATTGGCTGAAAGCTAGTTGATAGGAGGGACCTGCTGTACGTCTCGACCTCCTCCACCAGTCTCAGCAGAGGAGCGGTGCATTGTGGGATGTGGTGGTCGGGCCAAGACGTGAACCAGTAATGTCTGATGGGACGACGCTCTGAATACAGCTGTAAACACACACACAAATAGTAAAATGTCATTGTCATACAGATGCACAGACACTATGATACGCTACGTGGCCAAAAGTATGTGGACATTGTAACATGTGACTCCATTTTCATGAACTTGCTGCAGGGATTTATTGCCATTCAGACACCAGATGCAACTATACATCTATCTGTGTAGATGCAGAACAGTATTTCAACTGGTTATTAAAAACAGTTGGTGCTGTCATGAAACCAAAAATGATGTTTATCTCACTCAGCACAGGATGTGGTTTGAAAAGCAGATAAATTTGCTGCAGCAGAAAAAAAGTTATTTTCATTTGAACTTTAAAAACCATGGCAAACTTTCTTTTTTTCTTAATCAGCTCATTTAATTACAAATATTTGATATTATAGAGAAAGATTTAAAAGCAGGTTCTGTGCCACATTACAACCATCTACCATTCAACTGAAGCATCATTATTTCATTAACTGTATAACCGATAACCAATAATCTTTATCATCTTTACAGAAGATGTCACATCCAGCGGGCAGAGCTGTTTCACAGGAAGCTACAGCTTTTCCTTTTTTTTTTAATTCACCTGTCCAGGTGGGATGAAGTGACCTAGTTAGCATAGTTCTATGTGGACTGTGTTGATGTTTTCGATGCAGAGGTCCAGTGTAACTGCTGTACAAGGAGCCGGGGAACATAAGTCATTTCTGGTCACTTCCTGCAGAGTGTGGTCACATTCACACAATTCACTGAACAGATTCTGTCACACAGATATTTTACTCTGATATGTCTGAAGATGTGTCAGTGAACAAACACATCACTGAATATATGAAAATATGATAGTATTCTATTGTATTGCATTTTATATCCTATCATTTGATAATTCAGTCAGAAAGGGTTATAGTACACAAACATGTGTTTGTACCTGGATGTCCATGTCAGTGACAGTGAACCCGTCTTTCTCTTGGCTGTCTCTCACTCTGAGGAAGAATCTGCCGAATCGACCCGTCTCTCCTTCCTCCTCGTCTTCTTCCCTCTGCCCCTCCTCGTCCTCCTCATCCTTCTCCTTCACCCTTGTTGTCCTCTCTGTCGGCTGAGGCCAGTACAGCTCACATTTCTGGAACAAACATACAGTCGGATGTTTAAGGACAAACAGGCAGATGATCTTTCTGTTCCTTACTCAGATGAATCTGTACTTGTGTACTTCAGTACAGTTTGGAGGTACTTCTTATCATTGTTATTTCCATTTTATGCTACTTCATACTGCTACTCTACATTTCAGAAGGAAATATTGTACTTAAAATGAATGTACTAATATTAAGTTTACTAAGTAAGTAAAACACTTTCAGGACAAGTCAGGAGTCAAGAAAAGGAAGATATGATTGAAAGCAGAGAGGAGGGGCAGCGTCTCCTCACCTCGTTGTTCTCCTTGAGTCTGGTAACCATGACGATGATACTGCTCCTCTCCTGCCATACCATGTCCCAGAAGTCCCCCACAGTGTGAACCATCGGCCCCTGGGTGGCGATGTAGGCCCTCTGAGCCCCTCTGTAACCCTGCAGCACACAGACTGGCTCTGTCACAATTGTACAGCACCGTTCACACAGCTGAGTGCAGGTCAATGTGCTGCACAGGTGAGTGATGAGCAAATAGCAGCACAAACGAATGATTAATAAATGTAAAGATATGGAGTTGAAGAGAAGCCAAATAACCATGGAGCAGTTTTCTTTTTAAAGAGTCGATGCAATGTTTTTTGTAGGAGATGCAGTTCCTGCCAGTGGTTTCACACCACTGACCTACAGGGGGCAGCAACATGATACACAGCAAAGTACCAACAAAGAAGGGGGAAAAAGAAGATTGGACACTACTGAACATCAGTGAACAAAACAGTTTTCAAGCTTAAAGAAAAATCATCTTTGAGAACGGTTTATGAAGAAAAACAAAATATAATCAGTAGATTTGTTCTCGCTGAAGGATTCACACAGTGTGGTGGGAATATAACCGTTGTTTGTGTATCAGTATCAGAAAACTCCACAGGGCTCCTTTAATGTTAAACTCAATTCACAACAGTGATGTACCTGTATTTTACTTTGAAAACCATGTACATGAATTTCTCTCTTTGAATTTAAGTTGTTCAGTTTTAAAACTAGATTTAAACTGGATTTAAAGTATTTTTTTAGGTTTGCAAAATCAAAGAAAATTGTTTTAAAAAATACATTCAACTATATTGAAGTAAAAAACTGAATTAGTCAAATCTGGATCTAAAAGTTCAAATGAAAACATAATTTTCAAAACGTTATTTTTACCCCGTGTTTCTGTGAACATCTGTCCAGCTGCCAAACTCTAGATGAGAGAGCAGAGCTGATCGACATGTTAAATGCATCTGAGTCACCTCTGATTTTTCCTGTGTACGCACAACAGCAGTGAGCATGAACTCTTTGCCCTCAGTTTTGCTTCTCAGGCAACATAAACGCTGTCCCAATGTTCACATGCTACTGATTTGGAACAGCAGATCTATTTAGAAAGACGTGTACTGCTGCTTGAATGATACACACACTAACACAACAAAGAAATGTTTTAATGACTGTACCAGGCAGCAAAATATTCATTCTGAACATACTGTACCTGCTGAATAAAAGTTATCCTACAACAGCTGCTTGTGGCATAAAACATGTTTACACAGGCTTATGTTAAAGATTGTTACAGATCTTGGTTAAATAATAAACTGTGAGAATGACTTCAAGTACAGCTGAGGATGTGTTTAAAACTAGAATCCGTCTCTAACCTAAACCAACGTGACTAAACACATGTAGGATTGTAACACAACACATCACTAACTGTGTGTTTTTGGAAAATAATTCTTAAAGCATCATTTATGTTAAGTCCAGTATATTTCAACATATTTCTCCAAAATGTGGCCTTTACGGGTCACGCCAACTTTGCACTCTCCACGTTTGTTGTAGAGATTTGGAGAAACAAGGACTCGAGGAAAACAACGCATATTGGGGCAAATTGTGCGAGCCTCTTACTGAAACAAACAGAAACTATCGGCCTGGAATCAGGCTAAAAAACGCGGCTTGTCTGTACTCCCTGGTTAAACACAACGGTCTGTGTCACCTTATTTAAAGAGGTGACACAGACTGAACTTGAACTTACACAGACAGTCACTTTATAGCGCTACCCACTGATCCTGGTCCCATTTTATTAGAGTGTTTATTCTGACTGATGTTAATTTACTTTTTCAGAGAAAATCCAGTAACTGATGTTTGTGGCAAACTGACACCTTCTATTTGTATGAAAAAATGTCATTTACATTCTAAAAAAAGAAAAACTGAACATCAATTCAGGCTAAAGACACAACTCAAAACTGATTTTTGATGAATAAAACTGTGTTTACCTCAGAGGTTATGATTTATGCCATGTCTGTTTGTTTGTCAGAAGGATTACACAAAAAGTTCTGAACCAATTTGCATCAAACGTGGGGGAGGGATGGGGGATGGACCAGGGAAGAACTCATTACATTTTGGTGCTGATCCAGTTGAAGGGATGGATCCAGTTTTGTTTTATCAGAGCATTTTTCTACGTTATCATCAATATTTCTCCCTGGCAGAGGCATTTGCTCTACTGGGTTTTATTTGACTTGATTCTTTTATTGTGGTTAAAGATGTAAAGAAAGCCTTAATTACTATCCATAAGACTGTCAAATTTCTTAGTAGACTTGATGCATTATTGACTAATGACTTACACATGCTGTGCAACTTAAGGGTGGACTTCATTATGTTTTATTTGCCAGGTTGATATAAATGTATGTAAAAGCATTTTTTTTTTGTCTGACTGAATCAAGACACCCAGAACTTCATCATGTCCCCTCCATTTTTGAAACTACCCTACATCTCTGACCTCGTAAGACAGGAAGTGAATGATTAAGACTGTTCTGTTCATCAGTACCAACCACTGAGCACCTCTGTAGTTACCCATATGAACGTGTTTACCTGTAAATTTTATACATGTAAATAAATGTGTATGTGTTTGTATCTTCTTCTTGTATTAAATAAACTGCAGCAGGTGTCTGCTTTAAAAACACTGTGTTGGTAGATTAACAACACACACACACACACACATACACGGTGCTGAGGCTGCAAAGTGTGAGGGATGCGTGGGCCGGGGGGGAAGGACGGGGGGAGGGGGGGGGAGTTAGGGACGTGTCACTTCCTCCCTCACTTCCTGTGGTTTTCCTGGTTGTCAGACTCCCACGCTGACAAACCGATGGCTCATGTCTGAGTTTCTGTTTGTTTAGCTGTCCAACACACACACACACACACACACACACAGAAACCAGAAGACGCCCACGCTGAGTGACAGCGTTGTCACACTCTATCAGCTTGTTTTGTTTTTAATAAAAAAACTGAAGGAAACAAATTTTCTTCACTCACTAAACTCATTTAATCTGCGACTAAATAATAAAACAAAACAAAATAAAATAAAACGGCTCCTCCAGTCTGTGTGTTGAAGTGTCCTTGTGCAAAATACTGCCCCCCTGATGGCTGTTCCATCAGTTTATGTGTATGGGAGTGATGTGAAAGTATCAAAGATTAGAAAACTTCCATTTAAGAGCAGTCCATTCACCATTATAATCCTTTTGAAGTGCATATAAACATCTGCATTATCAAATCCATGTAGCATGTGACTCAGTTACACAACTTTCAACTCATTTTTGTACCAGCTGTGTCTCCAAATCCTTCTAATCTGAACCTGGGTTCAGATCTCCCAAGGCACACTTTCTTTCTACCAGGTTACCACAAGGATCTGTGCTAGATCCCCTTCTCTTCTTTAAGACACAACCTCCCTTGGTCTGATTATCTGCTCACTGCCATGTTGATGATTCCAAACTCCATCTGTCCTTCCCGCCTAAATGATATCTCAAAATGGATGATAGAAGACCACCTTCAAGTCTCTTTGAAGCTGCACAGATTGGCCATGATTTCAGCCTTGAATCTGTCGCCCACGACTAATTTTAGAATCAGACCAAATTTCTGCCAGACTGGTTTGTCTTAATTTTTAAACTACTCTAGATGATGGTGACACCCTGTATATGCAGGCATCAGCTTGACTCATTCATTCCTGTGTTTTATTATGCCTCTGCACCATCCCATTCTCTCATGCACATGATATCTCAGTAATACCTTAAACTTCCCTCAAGGGAATCACTTCAAATTTGGCACAGATGTTCACTTGGACTGAAGGATGAATTGATTTGATTTTGGTGGTCAAAGGTCAAGGTTAATATGACCTCACAAAACACTTTTTAACCATAACTTAAGACTTTTTATATGATTCTGGATAAAAAGGGATGTAATCTGAAACTAGTCTGAGTGGTGGAAGCATACAACTGCAAGGTGGTAATTTTAATTTTGAAAGCTGGTACAAGAACCCATCACTGTGATTAATACAAGTTAATTGGATGGATTTTAAGAGAATTACTTATATGTGCCTATTTATCTTTGAAGCCATTTCTGCTAAACTTCCTGTTTACCATGGTGAAATGCTTTTTCCTGTTTTTTTTATCAGTAAACAGACCAGATCATCTACATGGATCATCTTCAGTGCACGCATAATATGTGCATGCACTGCATGGGTGGCATGTTCAAGTGTCCACATACTAGTATTTACCATGTGTTGATTACCTGATGCTACTGAATATTTATGTCATCTGTTAGAAGAAAATTCTCTGTTTTATTAAACTGTTGCATTAAACAAACTGTGTGAATTGTTTACTACAAAAAACCCCAATACAGAACTTCCATTTAAAATATGTCATTTTAACAGTAAGTATAGACAAATTATAGACTGGTCAACAAGAAGACATCACTGCTAAAAACTCATTTCTATAGAGATGAACAGGAACAGTCAGCTCTATGTGCAGACCACAACATGAAAGGGCTTGTTTCACCATACAGAAACACCACAAATTGCAAAGTAACTTCACTCGGTATGAAATAACGTTAGACTCTAACCCGTATGTAGTTGGCGTTGATGTAGCGGTCTGGTCCTGCCTCTTCCTCTGGGCTCCTCAGGATCACCCGGCTTTCAGGGTCTAAACAGTTAACAACAAACAACAATGATAAACAAGAGTGAAAACAATGTCTACTGTGTTTCTACTGAGTACTGAACGACAGGTGAGTCACTGACTGGGTAGGATGGTTTTATATCTGTCTTTCATCGTGTGTCCTGGAATGTCAAGTTCTGCAGTGCTCACAAAGTTCATAGGGATCTTCTGTGGAGGAGACAGGGATGGGCTGGATGTTTAAACAAGCACACCTCATCTCTTTTTTTTCTCCAGTACAGAATCAAAACTTAAGAGTTAGTCTGTATATATTGTGGATAATGTGGATTTGGGACAGTTATATACTGCACATAACTTTTACCTGGTACTCCACATTCAGTGTGTTTGTGTCCATGGCGGCCTGCTGCAGCAGTGTGTGTGTGAGCGGTCGGGTGGAGGTGTGAAGCAGTTGAAGCCACACTTCCTTTGGGGTGGAGACAGAGCAGACAGGCTCCACCCCCAGGCTGTTCATGTCCAATAGCAGCGACAGGTTGGAGCCCCGCCTACAAAAAAAGAGCCCAAAAAAACGACAAAAAAATAACCCAATGACAAGGTTTGTTTGTATACCACCTACAGAACATGAGAATGAAAATTGAAGGTTTTTAGACAGTACAGATATTTTTTGGAATTATTTTTTGAAATTTTTTTGACTTTTTTTTTGACTTTTTTTTAAAAGTAAGGACAATTTTACACAATAAGGATGTTTCTAGAAAAATAGGGATTTTTTTATAAAAAGAGGACATTTTTAAAAGGGAGGAAATTTTTGGGAGGCAAAGACATTTTGAAAAAGATATTTTTCAGGACATTTTAAAAAGAGAGGACAATTTAAAAATAGCGGGTAAATGACCACATCTTTGGAAGGTGAGGACATTTTGGAAATGTATACAGGACTTTTAACACTTTTGAAAACTAAAAACATTTCTGTATCTTTTTGTAAAGTGAGGACATTTGTGAAACGTGAGGATATTTTGAAAGAGATTTTTTAGAAATCTGGGATACATGTGATCACTTTCGTAAACCAAGGACGTTGGAAAATAAGTACATTTGAAAAGGGGACTATCTTTGGAAGGTGGTCAAAATATCTTGGAAAAGTGAAAATAGATAGACATTATGATATTTTCAATACACACAGGCTGTGTGTGTGGTGAATACCCACCTCTCCTGCAGGCGGACTGAGGCTTTGCGAGGAGGTGTGGTCATCGGTGGGGGTGTGGTTGGGTCCTCAGTGGGAGGGGAGGCTGGGGGCACTGCCGACATACTCATAGTGTGTTTGGTGTTTGTGTGTGTCTGAGTCGGACTTAGGTGTTCATCACAACATCGTGCTGCAGGGGAGAGAGAGAGAGAGCGTTTTGCACTGTGACCCACTGAATCCGCAGGAAAACTGCTGTACCCACAAAAACAGAAGGGGGCGCTGTTCCTCCTTAAGAAACAACATGTAAGCTATTAGAGTTTCTGCTGACTTCCTAAGTGTCATATATTTCATATTACTGCTAACTGTATTGTAAACTATTGAGTGTCTGTTTGAGAGATTCTGGACTCAGCTCAAAACAATTTCAACTCCTCCACAATTTGAGTTTAAGACTAAATTAAAACTCCACCAATATATCTATTATATCAACTGTCACTCGCTCCACGAAATAGACAACACCAGGATTCGTTGTTACTGATGAATTAATCATCGTCTGCACATCTAAGAGCATTAACGCCACCACCATCAAACTAATTAAATACGTAACGTTTTTACAAAATAAACAAACATCACAACAACACAAACTACAGAAACGTAAATATAAACATTCACGACGATACATAAGCAAGTAAATAAACATACCTCGTTGGCTGCACATGACCAAGCGGGAATAAATGGACCAATAATAAACCTTAAAAACAGGCAGTGTGTCGCCTTTAACTTAAACCTTAACGGAGTTCAAAAACTAACTTTCTTTGAACTTCATGTGTTTTTCTGAAGATGAATGTTACAACTTAAAGGATCCCCATGCAAAACAGGGGCAAACTAATTCCTACGTCCTACATAGAGCCAATACAAGTATATATAGTAAAATAAATCATATAAATAGTGTATGCAAACAAAACATATAAAATGACAACATAAATATATTTTTAAGGCAGTTAAATCAACATTCAATGAAATGACTACATTATATTAAAGAGGTCATGTGCTGTGTTGATTGTCACCAACTCTGCAACTTTACAGAGCTTTTTAGCCTCTTTTAGATCCTAGTTTTGGTTTTATGGCACATTTCCTGTCTGGCTGAGCCTCAATGTTTCCAGCAGCAGTAAACACTTCTCTAAAAACTAAAATACTGATCGCACTCACCATTTTGTCTTTTCTCAAGTCTCTGCAGTCTCACTTGTCAGATCCATTTCAACTCAAAAAACGATCTGCTCTGAACTTATGTGATGGTTTTGTCACTAAGGAGCTCCCTTACAAAATGAGAAGTTACGCTCACACTCCACGTGTTACTTCTGGCAGCTCTTGCAATGGAATCAGTTTGTTGTTGTCACCAGCCTCAATGAAGGAAGTTTGACGTGACGAGTGAATTATTGATGCGACGACGAGCCGCAGCTGCTGTCAGACTCCACAGATCTGCCATCAGTCACTTCACAAACAAGAACACATGTTATTCTACAAACTCAACCTGTCTGAACTCTGATGAAGAGATTAAAATAATGAGTAAGCTCTGTGTGTGTCTGTGTGTGTGTGTGTGATTCAGTGTGTTTCCACATTGGTTTAGATCCGAAACGTTTCAGTGTGTCTCCATCGGAAGAGAGTTTCCTCATATCAGGAAGTCAGCACACCCACAATGACTCAAAGCACAACACACAACACAAACACAGACAACACACTCAAACATAAAGTCCAAACTGATGAATTCCAGTATTTTCTATTCTTATTTAAAGAACTGAATTCCACATAAAAGAAGCATAATGAGCAGAGGAAGTTGTTTTATCTGTATTAAAACAGCCAGAGCCTGAAGTGACTGATGTAACTGAATATGACAAATAATTAGAGATATGAATCCTCTGTTTGTCAGTTCTTGTCTGCTCTTGTTTTCTTAAGAAACACCATCACATCCTGAGTCTTGCTCCAATTCACAACTAAGTCCACATTGATAAATTTACCAAGAAATTTATCACATGAACCAGCAGCTATGTAGGAGACTCATGAAGGCTTCAGTTTGACCTTCAGAAAACGCACTGCAATTAACACCTTCAGCATGACAGCACCTCCACCACTTATTGCTCGTTAATGTGGGTGCATCAACGCTCGTAAGCTAGCATATAGCTAGTTCATTAGCAAACGTTGTGTATCTATCAGGCATTTACCCACATACGGTAATGCTCCAGAATCTTTTCAATGAACCATTAAGTAGCTTCCACACACATTTAGATCTCATTTCTCAAACAGTCTACATTTTGACACAATGGTTTGGGACTTTTACATTTCCTGTCGGCTCATAATCAGGAAAAACATTATTTTCCAATGGTCAGGTTGTCCTGGTATGTGCTGGATTCCTGCTTCCCAGAGGATTAACGGTTTAGATTTGAATGACCCCATGACCTTTTCATTTAGCGCCATCCTCAGCTCCACTGCTAGTACAACTCTACAACTAGATTTTAGATTATAATGACCCATGGTTGCTAAGGGACATCTAGTGGTTGTAGTAATTATGACATGAGCAAAGGGAAAAGTGCGGTGACTAATATAATATTGATGTTGTTTCTAATATCCATTGACCGTTCAACAAAGTTAACCATGTTGTTATCATTGTAACTATGACAACAAAGGTCATCTAATGTTGAGGAATTACTTATTTCAACCCAAATCCCCATCTTTTCCTAAACCTAACCGAGCCATGACCATTGTTATTGTAACCATGGCGATGACGGTAGGGTACACCACTCTCAGTACAGTCTGTGTGTTTATTACTGTAACCATGACAACCAAAATCCTGACCCGTGGTTAGAGTTGTTGGCTTTTCTATTCATTGTGGCTGTAATGAACACTGCAGCCTGTAGGGGAGCTGTAGGGTTTCATTTGTATTCGCTAACAGTTTATAAAAACATTTTAATTATCATTTTAAAGATAATAAATATGTTAGTTTTGCTGATTTCACTGGATCAAACACATGTAACCACATTTTTATGTCAGATGAGATAAACCAGAGCAGTTACAGAAAGTTTTCAAGAGATCAGATTTAAAAAATAAAGTAATGACACCTGTCAGTAAGTGTTAATAATAAATGTATTGATCAGGCTTACCAGTTATTTGACAGCCATGGTGTTCTGTTTGTGTGTAATTCTGGATAGTAAGATGTGAATCCTCCTTTGATACTAGAGCTGCTGCTCACTTTCTCCAGCTCACCTACAACAACATTAACTGACCTCACAGCTCACACACCTGACTAATTAACCAACTAACCAACTGACTGACTGAGCAGGTAACTAACTAACTTACTAACTTACTAATGAACCAGTGAAGAGAAGGGAGTTCTCTGTTTCTTCCTTGCCCTCTTCAAATGAAATCAATGACTTACTGACAGACCAGGGGCAAGAAGAAACAAGTGAACGAGGAGAAAAAGGGGGTGAGAGAGAAAGTGATAGTGAAGGAGAAAACAACAGTATATGTGGTGAAGGAGAGAGAAGAAGCAGCAGGAATAGACATGTCCTGTTTTTCTGGCCGTTATTACCCTGATTCCAAGTGTTCAGTAGAGAGAGAGAGAGAGAGAGAGAGAGAGAGAGAGAGAGAGACCTGAGGGGAGAGAGAGAGAGAAAACAGAGAGAAAATGAGTCAGAGAACGAATGAAGATAGAGAGAGAGATAATGAAAGAGAGACAGAGAGATGCTCCAGGCGTTGATTATTAACACACCAAGAACAGCTGCTCATGAATCATTCATATCAAATCATACAACACACACCGCTAACACCAGCAGCACAAAAACATGCATAACACCCATTCATACAGCACAACAAAATAACAAACACTAATATAAACCTGCTCTCCCTGACAGTTATGGCTATTTACCACAGAGGAAGTATGAAAAAAAAAATCAACCTTTTTTATGAGCAAACAGTGACTCAACCTCACACCTCCACATTGTTTTTCACTCTTCAGTCCACAATGGAAAATTCTACCCTTTTGAACTTTGAACCATAAACTTATTACTTTGTTTAGTCGTCTTAAATAAGCCTAGCAGCAAACCCCTAAAGCTACTGATGCTGGATATTTGCTGAACTCCCTAAACAGCAAATGACCAATCATAGCTTAGCAACAGTAGCTAAGCATGTTGATGCGGTGCACATGCAGCTGCAGTCAGATACCCTGACTGGTCATTTTTCAGCCTTTCCAAAAACAAGACTTAAACAGCGTGTTTATGTCTTTTTTTGCGATCAGCTGCTAATGTTAGCATGCTTGGCTTATTACCAAAGGCTGAGGGTTAGCAAATAATTAGCTCAATGCATCATTGTTTGGGGGGCACAGACATGTGAAACCCCCCCAACCCTCAACAAAACTCACAAAACCACCACAAACATAGCGGGTGTGTTGTGCTCAAGATGTAGCTGTTTTGTGGTTGTTTTATGTCTGTGATGGTTTGTATGTTTGTGTAGTCGTTTTCTGTCTTAACTTTGATTGGCTTTCCAAGAAGAATATTAACAGAGGCTCCCTGTTTATATCTGTGTAATCCTTCCATGGTTACAGTATCATTAGACAAAGCCTCATTCTGGACTGGAACATCCAAGTTGCCGTAACATCAGAGTTTATGCTAATGTTAGCACCTCTGTCCTACTATTTATCAGATGTTGTTAAGTTTACACTCCTGTAAACTGTAAAAGCAGATTGTGTGAAAATATGAACAATAAAGCATAAATGTAACTTTTGTGTTGTTTGTCCAAGTACATTATTATCTATATAGCAAATGTACAAGACATTTAGCTAGAGAGACATAGCTTGGATTATTAACTGGTGAGGAGGATGATGTTTTACTTGGGACCTGTTGGCGTTAGCATTTAGGCTTTTTTTGCATCATTAGGCTACATGGTGCTGTGTAAGCACTGTCAGCCATCCACTGGGGCTTAGTGAACAGTCACTTTGCAGGGCCGTGTCAGAAATCACTCCCTCACTCCTCCCTATATCACAGACACTCAGTACTTTACAGAGTAATCAGCAGTAAATTCAGATTTCATTTCATGTCATTTTGCATCATCACTGAGCTGCAGAGCTGCTCAATGATCATTTTTGCATGTGTGCTGAGTGTTGTATTGTGTGTAGATGCCACGAACCCTACTTTTCCCATTACATTGTGGAATTTTTGAGGCCACAATATAATAAACAAAATAACACACTTTAAATGCTGCAACTCTGTCATTCACTCCTTTCATTCATCCATTATCCATATCGCTTATCCTTATGGGGTCACTCTTTGTAATCACCTTGCACCTGTATTTTAGCGAATACCTGGGCGGTTTTTATGATCTAAGATGCAGCGTGAAGGACTGACAGAGCTGGAAGATTTTCAGCTGCAGCAGTCGGATGAACATGAACCATGATTTACACAGTGGCTGATTAGATCAGTTCTCCTGCGCAGCTCTGGGATCAGCTGGTCATGTTTCATGTTGTAATAGTATAATAATGTTATGGTGACTGGTGTGTTTTCATACATGTTTCTAACAATATTCATATCATAACAGAATAAGATGTCTGAGTGTTCAAAACATGTGTTAATACAGTTATTTTTCCAGTGGAGACTCATCTGGTTTTAGTTACACTGTTACACACAGTCCAGTTTTATAAAACCTGGGATTATTGTTGTGTAACAATCTGAATATTCATATTCTATTATTAATAAAATACACATTATATTTATATGTTATATGTGTTTTAATTCATGTTGATAAAAATCCGACTCCAGTCCAACAAAGTAAAAATCAGTGCGATCTCTTCCTAATAACCTGCTGCTGCAGCACACAGGAACTTAGTTGAGCTAGCTGTAAGGTAATTAATGCCAAACATTACTTTGTGCCAAAGACTGTATTTTTAATCTTATATCTGTGAGGCATCAGGTCACATAACCTCCTCAAAATGTGGATCACATGTTCCCAACTTTGAGAAGTGTATGTGTGAACCAATCAGGACCGCCATGTTTTATTTATATGTACTTATAATCAGCAGAAGCTAAAAGACAAAGCAGGAAATGGAAAAAATAAAATAACAGCTATGAAGTAAACAACTCATTATAATTCTGCTTAAAGATCCTCTCCAGGCACATTCAAAGATAAATAAAAACACTTTTCAAAACATGGTCTACGGAAGCTGAGAAAGGCCATATTTGCAAATTTTTTTATCTACGAGATATTATCAGGAGAAAACAATTTTTTGTTATTCCGAGATAAGGACATATTAGCAGGAGAAAACTATTTTGATTGAACCTCGTGTACTAAATTGCAAGTAACACACAGTCCAGATAATCTGCTCTTCTCGTGTATCATTTGGTAATCATGAAGGCTATCTGATTTTTGTCTGAGTTAGCCCTTGAGTGAAATATTCTATGATGTGTTGACATTTTCAGTTTACAGCACTAGAAGTTTCCATATGCATACTGGCTTGGCACATCTGATCTCTGATTAACAAAGTAATTATATCGAGAAAACAAGCTCAGAATCTATGAATATGATGTTATTATTCTAAAAAGTCTAACTACTGGATACAATATGTCTCCTGCGTCACTCTCAATGCATATGTAATGCAGGCTTCAAGTTTCATACTGGACCTTGCTTGGCTTCAAATATAGACGGATGGATGAAATGGCATAAATGTTCACGGTGCAGCAAGTTCACTGCACTGGGGCCCCGGAGCTGTTAGGGGCCCATCACAACTAAATTTTGATTCAGTCTTTGATATTCTTATTGCCCTTATTGAAATGTTGTATTGAAATTGTAAAACTGCATTATTTTTGAGGATACCTGGTAATAATTATACTGTAATAATCAATCAGTGGTTGAAGAATTGCTCAAACCTTTTGCTTCTATAAAAGAAGTAATATCACAACATAAAAATACTCCACTACAAGTAAACGCCATGTATTCAAAATATTTTTAAAGTATCAGGAGCAAAATTTACTTAAAATGTCAGGTTCTCAGAGCACCATTAAGAGTGTATTACTTGTCACATATATTATTAGATTATAATTTTACTCATGCATTAACATGTAACATTTTCAAGGTGAGCTAAATTTGAAAAATTTTACATACTGTTCAACAATACAGCACATAAGATGATCATATATTTTTTATGTAAAACTTAACCTGAAAAGTAACTATAACTGTCAGTTAAGAAGAATCAAGGAGCATAAAAAGGAAATACTCAAGTATTAGTGCCTGCAAACTGCACTTCAGTGCAGTACTCGTCACTTTACCTCATATGTACTCTGTAAGTGATACTGTAATTATCAGGCTGTAGTATAAAGCATTTTCTACTTGACTAAAGAATCTATTTCATCCACCTTTGATGATTAAAATACAACATTATAATTTTCATAATGATAAAGTGATGATGATCTTGTAGAGAATATAAAAAAAAGTTTTCTGTTGTAAAATTAACTGCAACTGAGATTACAAAATTTAAATAATGTTCATCACAAAGACTTTGAGCTAACATTTCACTCTACGTGTTTGTATTCATCCACCTATCCATTCAAAGTTATCTTTCAGGTTACTAAGTTTTCATCACTCCTCTTCCTCACCTTTGTGTGTTTGGTTCACTCCCTCGATCCTTCCTCTCTTCTTTCCCTTCTTCTTCTTCTTCGTCTTCCTCACCCTTTCTTCTTTTTGGTCCTCGTCTCTCTTTTCTCTTCTTCCTCTTCTCTCATCTGTTGCTGTTGCTTTCTGTCGTTGTCTTTACTTCTACCTTCTCTGGCACTTCCTTTTCTGCACCCACCCACTCTCTCATTATCACACACACACACACACACACACACACACACAAATGCATGCACACACTCTTTTTCGCACACACATACACTTTCTATTCCCCTCATCCAAGGTTATGGGTCCCCTTTAGACTGCACGCTACAGGCTTCAACATTGTTTCTGTGTATTTGTTCTTGTGTGTCAGTGTATTTTTTGTGTGTGTGTGTGTGTGTGTGTGTGTGTGTGTGTGTGTGTGTGTGTAAAGCCATCAGCAGTTTTTCACAGTGGGGCTGTATAAACTGATTTTCCACATCTTTTTCTCTCCAGCTGTCAGATGAACAGCAGCAGAATACAGTCCTATCGGGACGCAGTCA